GACTGCTCAAGTTAAAAGTGGCCCAAAGGAAAACAGAGCCACCTTTGTGAGTCCCTCAGTCACACGTTCAGATTTTCAGCAGTTGATAAGTCTTTTCCGCACACACTGCTGCACTCGGTGTTAGTGTCTCATTCTTGAACATAAAAGGCACGCCAAAGATCACTACATATGTGAGAAAAATTTTAATATCAAAGGCAAAGGGCAAAACAAGCAGAAGAAAATGAACTCTGAAGAAATAGATCGTGTAAGAAATAAAAGATTGTGACAGCTGTTTTTGTAGAGGTCCAACACCTAAAACACAGGGCTTCCAAAAACAGAATGGAGAAGACACGAGGCATAAAATCATCCAAGAAAAAAAACAAGCACATTTCTTGGTACTAAAGGACATGTGTTTCATGCTAAAAGAGTGGTTAGGTGCCCAGAACGATGAATAATAAAATTCCCACTACAGATCACTTCACCTTCAAATTTCATAAAACCAAGAAAAATTCTAAAAGTTTGTAATGGGGCAAAAACAACAACAACAACAACAACAACAAACAAACCCCAGTTTGTACAAACCAGGGATCAGACGAGTATTGTATTTCTCAGCAGCGGCCCTGAAAACGAGAAGGCAGTGTACCAGAAATTCTAAAGGAAAGTGACTTCTACAAGAGATGCCTATCTCCCAGTCAACAACGAATCAAATCTGAAGAGAGGAAAAATGGGCAACTTTCAGACAAGAAAGGCACTCAAGAGGCACCCTGGTGACACAATAGGTCAGCATCCGGCTGCTAATCAAAGGCTGGGGGTTCCAATCTGCTCCTGAAATTATCATAGGCTAGAAAACCCTGGGGGGTAGTATTAGGTCTTGGTCAAAGTTGCACTTTGACCCAGACACTAAGAATCATCCTCAGGGGAAAAAACAATGGAATTCTTACCAAAGGAGCCTAGGGTACGGAGAATCCTCACCTGTGCCTCTACTCTTCAGACCCAATTCCAGGACCATGTTCCAGGGCGTGGACAAGCCCTATTTCAGGACCATGTTCCAGGCTCATAGCGACAGCCCAGTACCCACCTGACGCCAACCATGATTAACCTTTCTTGCCTAGAAGTATGCAAACCCTAACAAGACATGCTATCTGACCTGCGCCAGATTCCATCACCCCACATCTGTCAAGAGAGCTCTTGAATACTACAGCCGTAGCTACAAAAGCCCATACCCAGATTCTAGTTCCCAGTGACTCCCAGTCTGGTCAAGCTATCTTCAAGCCCATTCTTGTTCAGCTCCCAGTACAGACATCAAAGCACTATGATCACAGCAAAACACACAGCCTGGTCAGCAGATTAAAGATTTGTGGACAAGTAAACCAGTGACCGTATCAAGTCCAACTTATTTGATTTCTTCTAGCCAGAAACCCAAGTTCATTTGATTCCAGCTAGGGAACCTGTCACAGGTTTTGATTCCATTTGATTCCAGCTAGGGAACCTGTCTCTCCCGCCTTCCAGAGTCAACTCCTAGGCTAGGCCAATGTGCTGACGAATGCTCCATTCACACCCGGCACTGAATACACCCCTCCCCTGCCCTGGTTGAGTATACTGAACTTTCCGTATGCAGTTTCTTCTGATTCCTCCTGTCAAGCCTAGAATGCTGTATTTTGCAGATCATGACAGAATCTCAACCCACACGTTAAATAATTAAACACACTGAAGAAACGTTTGCACTTTTGGAGGATGAAAGAATATTCCTGATCTGATCCTCTCGTGGCAACAACACCTTAAGAGCCTTTAGAAGTCTTTAGCGATGCTGGTCACATCTCAGCAAGCAACGGTAACAAGGGCAGACCGGTGGCAAATCTGGAAGGCTGTTTAGAGTAAGCCATCCATTCAGTTGAGCTCACTATAGTTTGTCTACTTTTCAGTTAATGGTAAATTTAGCACTAGATCTCTAAAAGAGGGCAACAGAGAAGGAAGATGTGGCGTCAACTTGAAACTTAAGAGTGAAGGGATGGAGTTTAGATTGTCAATCAAGTTGCAGCTTGATGATCTCATTTGGAGGCACTCTGGAAATAAATAGCTCACTGGAGGCCAGACCCATACTCTCTGCTTAAGTCTTCCTCCTGACAAGCCACATGGAGATACAGTGATGGAGCTAGAGCCCTGGAGCTGGAGGAGCCACATGGAGACCCATGCCAGTGCTGAGATGCTTCCACTACCACTGGATCCACAAGACTTTCTACCTACTAGTCTGTGATCTTCCTGCATGTGGTGTCATTGCATGTGTAGTATGAGTCTGAAGAGGAATTTATAGACTGGTATCAGACATATGGGTTAATATCAGACTTATGGACTTGATCTGGATTGGGCTGGGATGTCTTCTTAATATAAAATTGCTCTTTGATATAAAGTTCTCTCTTGTAAACATGAGTGTCTCTGGATGTGTTTCTCTAGTCAACCTGGACTAACACAGATGATATGAGCCTACATGATACCTAGCCCTGGAAACCACCCTATGAGGCTGGATCACTATACCTGGAACCAGCTCTGAACAAGTAGGCAGTTTGACCAAAGTTCACAACTCATGAAAGAAAGGACTGGAACCCAGGTCTATCCGACTTCAAAGCCCATTACCTCACTAGGCTCTGCCGTCTTCACTCACGAAGGACTGGATAGATTTTTAATGGGCAAAAAAGTAACCTACAGTGTGCTAATCTACATACGGGTAATAGCATACGGACTCTTCTCTCAGTGTTTTTTTTCCCCGATGGCAGACATGCCCAATGGCTTAACATTATTAGTATTATAAACAATTGGGTGGAAAGTGTACAGGAAATACAAAAAAAAAAGTGAAAGGCTGAACTTGGTACAAAATTTGTAACTAATAAAACTAAACTAAAATTAATCAAATGTCAGCTGTCTGAGTTTCCTCAGTGTCTAATCTAAGATCACATTTTTCTTGAACATTAGTGGGGGTGGGGAGACACCATACTGTAGGAATACAGCGATCTACTCTGCCTTTCTGAAGATTCTATATTCACACTGAATCCCCAGTTCTGGTTTCCCATGCAACACTCACCTTCATTCACAGATTGCTAGCTGCTCTTGTATGCTGCTCTCCCGTAGCCATTTTTGTCTCCTAAGTACTATCAATCCAGGCTGTGGAGTACAGCAGACACTGAAAGTTTGGTATGATGGAGCTAAATTGTACCAAACTACTCAGAATACCATACCACGGTCCTCTACAATTCCCAGCACAGAGAATTTCCTAGTGCTGGACTTAGCTCTTGGCCCCCCGCCCCCCCAGCCTCCCACAACGTAACTAGGCTATCCTCCAGTTTCTATGGCTGAACAAGTCTGTTCCCAAGTCATATCCCAAATACTTCTTAAATAAGGAGCCCTAGAGCAGCCCTCGGGGCATAGAGGGTTAACCACAGGGTCAGCAGTTTGAAACCACTAGCCACTCCACAGGAGGACGACAAAGTTTTCTGCTCTGTCAATTCATCTCGGAAACTCATGGTGGCCGTTTTACCTTGTCTTATAAGGTCACTATGTGCCAGAATTAACTCAATAGCATTAAGTTTGAGAGGTCTTTTGATTGTTGCTGTTTTAAGTGGTGCCAGGGATTAAATGTTGGACTGCTGATTGCAAGGTGGGTGGTTCAATCCCACCGGCTGCTCCACAGAAGACAGGTGGGGGTATCTGCTTCTGTGAAGACTGGCAGCCTCGAGACCATGAGCAGCAGCTCTACTCCCTCCTTCAGGGTTGCAGTGAGTCAAAATCAACTTGATGGCAGAGCAGTATTTATTACATAATTTATCCAACCGATTTGTTATATGGGGCTAAACATCTGGGAGAAGGCGTGTAACGGGGTCTCTCCTTAGTCCTCCAGCCACACACGCCCACAGCTGTGCCTGCCTCTAGAGAGAAAAATGGTAAACTCCCTGCCTGCCCAACAGTCTTCTTGCCCAATCCACGGCCACTAGATGCTGTTCAGAGTCCTCACCCAGCGATTCCCTGTGTTCCAGGCATGTGCCACCGTTGCCCTCAATGGAAGCGTGAGGAGGAATAGGCTTTCTGCATCCCACCAGAACCAGTTCTTAAAAGTAACTTCTTTTTTCCTTCCTGCTACGTTTTTTTTCAATCAGAAAAAGTCCATGGAGTGTCTTTATTCAACTTGACTAAGTAAAAAAAGGGGGGGGGGGAATCAAAGGCACAGCTCTCCCATGAAGACTTCAAGAGCTAAAAATGGATGGACCCATTCCCACACAGTGCAGGCTGGATTCCCGCTGGAAGCTGCAGCAT